ATTATGACATCCAAGTTCCAGAGAGTGTCCCCTGCACGCAGCCTATGTGGAAAAAGGTAATTAAAGGTGCCCCTAAACCTTATACCTACTGATTAATAATGGCATATCATTCAAAGATGGATGAACCAAGCGTGGACACCATGTGTTCTTGGATGAGCATAGTGGAAAATCTGGAAGACTCCTCCGTTCCCCTATACCGACTCACCTACGATAGGGAAAGAATGGAGAGAGATTATGAATACTCCAGGTATGAGGACGACTCTAGAGACAGAGATGACAGACATTATAGAGATTACAGAGAAAGGCCAATGGAACAATCACGGTGGGATCGATGAAGATGCCCTCAACTAGACCTTGATCCTGGTCTCGGTCTCGCTCACGATCTCTGTCATTTACACGTCGAAGGAAAGAAAACCCTAAGCGTCAGTCACGTAACCAACTATGGGCCTACCTATGTAGCAAGGGAAAGAACATGAAGAAGTGGGGGGGTGAACCCACTTCCAAGCTCGAAGCTAGAGTGAGGGAGCTGAAACAAAAGGACACTGACAAGAAAGTTGTCTACATGGTAGATACAGACTTAGAAAAGAAACTGCGATCACCGAAACACAAGAAGATGCAGGTCTGCTTCAACAATGACAAAAAAGCCTCTAAGAAACCAAAGTCAGTCCTACAACGAATCCTCTGATCAGGACCAGTAGAGAGGCCCTGCCTTCTGCCAGGAGAAGGAAAGAGACCAAGAAGATAATCGGGTTTACTGGGCTGTGTGGGTTCGATGTCCTGGCACATCGGATCCTCAGAGATACCGGGCCTTGATAGATGCTGGAGCCCAGTGTACTCTAATGCCTTTGGAGCATAAGAGTACCGAGACCATTTCTATTTCTGGAGTGACAGGAGGGTCTCAAGAGTTGTCAGTGGTAGAGGCCGACATAAGCTTGAGAGGAGACCAATGGGAAAAGCATTCCATTGTGACGGGGCCAGAAGCCCCTTGCATCCTTGTTATGGTCTACTGAAGAAGAGGATACTTCAAGGACCCGAAGGGCTACCTGTGGGCTTTTGGTGTAGCCACGGTGATTGAAGAGGAGTCCAAGCAATTGTCTGCCCTTCCTGGCCTCTCAGAAGACCCTTCCATAGTGGGACTACTACGAGTCAAAGATCAAGAAGTGCCAATAGCCACGACAACCGTACACAGACGACAGTATCGGACGAATCGAGATGCTGTGATCCCCATCCACAAAATGATTTGGAAGTTGGAGAGCCAAGGGGTGGTCAGCAGAACCCATTCACCCTTCAACAGCCCCATCTGGCCTGTACGTAAGTCCGATGGAGAATGGAGACTGACTATGTACTATCGTGGCTTAAATGAAGTCACGCCACTGTTGAGTGCTGCCACGCCAGATGTGTTGGAGCTCCAGTATGAGCTGGAGTCCAAGACAGCAAAGTGGTATACACCACCATCAACATTGCCAACCCGTTTTCTCCATTCCCTTAGCAGCAGAGTGCAGGCCACAGTTTGCTTTCACCTGGAGGGGCATTCAGTACATCTGGAATTGACTGCCCCAGGGGTGGAAGCACAGTCCAATCATTTGCCATGGACTGATTCAGGCCACACTAGAGAAAGGTAAAGCCCCAGAACATATCCAGTACATTGATGACATCACTGTATAGGGGGACACAGTAGAAGAAGTTTTCAAGAAAGGACAGAAGATCATCCAGATTCTCCTCGAGACCGGTTTCGCCATCAAGAAGAATAAGGTCAAGGGACTCGCCCGAGAGATCCAGTTCCTAGGGGTGAAATGGCAAGATGGATGATGCCAGATGCCAACAGACATAATCAACAAGATTGTAGCAATGGCTCCACCAACAAAAAAGAAAGAAACCCAAGCTTTTCTGGGAGCCATAGGCTTCTGGAGGACACCCCAGAGTACAGCCAGATTGTGAGCCCTCTTTACTTTGTGACCCGTAAAAAGAACAACTTCCAATGGGGTCCTGAACAACAACAAGCTTTCAGGCAGATTAAGCAAGAGATTGCACATGCCGTGGCTCTTGGACCAGTCAGGACAGGACCAGATGTAAAGAATGTACTCTACACTGCAGCTGGAGATAAAGGTCCCTCCAGAAGCCTCTGGCAAAAAGTGCCTGGTGAAATGCGAGGGTGACCACTGGGTTTCTGGAGCCAAAGCTACAGAGGTTCTGAGGCCAATTATACTCCTGTGGAGAAGGAAATCTTAGCGGTATATGAAGGTATACGAGCAACTTCAGAGGTAATTGGTACCAAAGCACAGCTCTTCCCGGCACCCTGATTACCAGTGTTGAGCTGGATGTTCAAAGGGAAGGTGCCCTCTACGCACCACGCCACCAATGCCACGTGGAGCAAGTGGGTTGCTTTGATTACGCAATGTGTCCGAATTGGGAACTCAAATCGCCCTGGCATTTCGGAAATTATAATTAATTGTCCTGAAGGTGGGAACTTCAGTCTGGCAGATGAAGAAGAGCCACTGAATCGAGCTGAAGAAGCTCCACCATATAATCAGCTGCCAGATGGAGAGACACGCTGTGCCCTTTTCACCGATGGTTCCTACCGTATTGTAGGGAGGAGCTGGAAGTGGAAAGCAGCTGTTTGGAGTCCCACCCGACGAGTGGCAGAAGCCACTGAAAGTAAAGGCAAATAGAGTCAGTTTGCGGAACTCAAAGCTGTCCAATTGGCCCTAGATATCACAGAAAGAGAAGGATGGCCAAGGCTCTACCTGTACACCGACTCCTGGATGATAGCCAATGCCCTATGGGGATGGCTAGACCAGTGGAAAAAGATGAATTGGAGGCGTAGAGGAAAACCCATCCAGGCTGCTGATCTGTGGCAAGACATCGCTGCCAGAGTGAAGAAACTGAATGTGAGAGTCCGGCATGTAGATGCCCATGTGCCCAAGACTCAAGCTAATGAAGAACGTGCTAATAACAGACAGGCAGACCGAGCTGCACAGGTCAAGGTATCACAAGTAGACCTAGACTGGCAGCAGAAGGGAGAATTGTTCCTAGCTTGATGGGCCCATGATGCTTCAGGCCATTAGGGCTGAGATGCCACCTATAGATGGGCACAAGACCAAGGGGTGAATTTAACCATGGATACTATCTCTCAAGTTATCCGTGACTGTGAAACCTGTGCCAGGCAAAAAGGCTGAAGCCCCTGTGGTATGGTGGACACTGGGAGAAGTATAAGTATGGGGAGGCTTGGCAGGTTGATTATATCACATTGCCACAGACCCACCAAGGTAAACGCTATGTGCTTACCATGGTGGAAGCAACCGCAGGATGGCTAGAGACATATTCAGTAACGCATGCACAGCCCAAAATACTATTCTGGGTCTCTAGAAACAGGTCCTGTGGAGACATGGCACTCCAGAGTGGATTGAGTCAGACAACGGAACTCATTTCAAGAACAGTCTAGCGGCCACGTGGGCACGGCAGCATGGTATTGAATGGGTATATCACATTCCATATCATGCATTCACTGCAGAAAAAGTAGAAAGGTGTAATGGACTGTTGAAGACAACTCTAAAGGCACTAGGTGGGGGAACTTGCAAAAATTGGGATAAGCTCTTAGCCAAGGCCACCTGGCTAGTTAACACTAGAGGCTCTGTCAATCGAGCTGGCCCTGCCCAAGTAGAATCCCTCCACACTGTAGATGGAGACAAAGTTCCAGCAATCCATCTGAGAGGTATGTTAGGTAAAGCCGTTTGGATTACTCCTCCCTCAGGCCAAGACAAACCCATTCATGGGATTGTTTTCACTCAAGGGCCTGGAAATACCTGGTGGGTTACGAAGAAGGATGGAGAGATCTAGTGTGTGCCTCAGGGAAACCTAACCTTGGGGAAAAACTAATTTTGTGCCTTAAGTTGTGTTTTACAAGAGACCAGAAAGACCCCCCCGGCCGCACCGCGTGTTTGGGGCAGTCCCGGCCGGCGCAGGGACCCCCTCGTCCACGCCGCGTGTTTGGGGCAGTCCCGGCCGGCGCAGGGACCACCCCGGCCGTGCCGCGTGCGCTCCGCACACGCGGTTCAGTCCTGCGGCCGCGGCAGGTGGCCGGGGGGAGCGGGAGGGAGGGCGAGCCTTGCTGTCGGGTGCTGAGCTCCGTGGAGGAGGAGAGAGCAGCTTCAGAGCACACAGAGGTTTGCAGTTCCAGGTCTGGGGGGGTACGGGGGGGGAAGGGGAGGGGGGGAGGGGAGGGGATCGGGGGGGGGAGGGGGGGCGGGCGGGGGGGAGGGGAAGGGGGGACGGGGGGGGAGGAGAGGAGAAGGGAGGGGTGTCAAGAGGGCCATGGGGGGTCCTCCGACTGACAGGAGGGAGATCGGGGCAATCCTGTATGAAGTGTCACAGGTGAGAAGTGTGCCTGAAGATATGTGGTAACACAGTGGAGGAACGATAAGGTCAGGGTGGATAGTGGGGTTCCTTTAGTGTGATGGGGGTCCCAGCTAGGCTGGGGCCTTGTAAGACACCCCAGACTTGGATGGGTATGGGGGCCAGAATGGTTGGTTTGTTTAGTTTGTCTGTTTGTTCTTGGCTCACCTGCGGCTAATGCCCAGGTTTGACATGTTCTGGATGTATTTGCTTTGCTCTGTCACGTCCTGAAAGGGTGGATAGGTCAAAGGGTTGTTCCTGGGTATCTCCTTGAGATTGCATATAGATAGGTGATAGCAAAGTAGGAAATGAAAGACTTGCCCAAATTGTTCTAACAGGTACGTAGCCTGTCTACCCCTATGTGGTTGCGAGCTATGCTGGCGATGGTACATGCCTTCAGTAGGGTCACCCATGCCAGACAGGTCAAAACCATAGGGCCAGATACAATACATTCCTGGGCAGGATGAGCTTGTTAGCCTTCTGGCAGTCATCCTAGGAGAAGGACAACTCTAATCCCAAACCCGGGCAGATGGAGCTCGCTTAGCCCTGTAAGGCCATCCATCTAAGAGAAGGTCACTCTAATCAAACCTATGTCCTGAGGACCTCACTGCCTCCGTCCAAGCTCGCTCGGCCCTGGCAGATGAACCTTAGGATTAAAGGGTGGGTTCAGTTCCACGCATACTGCATCTCACCTAAAAATCCATTGCGCAGGCTTGAAGGCTTTACCCACATGCAAAAAGTCCTGTAGCAACGGGCGAGGGTCAAAACGGCAGGTGAAAGGTGCACTGGGAGCCGCAGACCCAACCCTGCATGCAGGCGGTTCAGGATATTGGTCATTTGAGACTGACGGAGATGACAGTCTCTTGGGGCAACACCCTGAACGACCAAGCAGCCTTTTCAAGGACAGCACTGCTTGCTCCACTCGGAGAGGGGCCTAGAAAAGGTGGCCTAAACATCTCCACCTTCACCCGGTTGGTTAACTGCAGACCAACGGGCATCTTCTTCCAATGCGGTCGCACAAAGAGCAAAAGACAAAGGCATGCACCTGCCTCTAAAGGTGTACCTAAATTAACTCTAGCATGCTGGAACATCAGAATCATGCTCGATTCTGCGGACAGCAGACGTCCTGAGCGACATTCTGCCCTAATTGCCCATGAACTGGCTCGTCTCAACATCGACATTGCTGCTCTCAGTGAAGTTCTCCTTCATGAGGAAGGCAGCCTCAGTGGTGCCAGTGATGCCTGCTGAGCTGGTGCTACGAAAAAAATTCAGGAGCCGTAAGCTGTGGTGAGATAAGAAAGGGTTTAATTATGCCAAGGCAATAGAGATGTTACACGGCGCGCGCCGGGCTGTGCCCGGGATGTTACATTTATAACAATATTTGGCCAATCTTAAGTGTGTCCACCCTATAACTTTTGGCCTGGTCCACCCCCTGGCCCGCCTCTTGGAATTGGGTCTGGGGTGCTTTTTGGGACCCTCTCTTCATCATTCTTCTTCTTCTTCAGGGTACAAAGAGCAGGGTGACCCAGTTCTTTGACTCTGTCCTGCGGTTTAGGCCAAGATATAAGCGTTCTCCAAACAAGACAGGTTTGCCTTGACTAAGAGACTAAACATCATCTGCTGAATATGGGAATAGGGTTGATATAGGGAGTATGGAATGGGGTGAAAGGATTAAAGAATGTATAAACTAAGGGATACTACGGGGAGGAGGGAGAAAGGGTTTCTAAAATCTACTTCTATTACTTATAAAATTTATAAGGTAGAAAAATAAGAAAATCATTATGGGCTTAAGGCATCACCAGTTACACACTCTTTTGGTCAGGTAAGCCCAGAACCGAAAACCATCTCTCAGGAGTCGGCTTCATGGTCAAAAACTCCATTGTCCCTAAACTCGAAAATCTGCCGACAGGTCACTCTGACCACATTATCTCCCTATGCCTTCCACTCCACAACAACCAACACGTTGTCCTCTTTAGTATATATGCCCCAACTCTCCAAGCTGACCCTGCCGAAAAGGATAAATTTTACACTGAGCTGCGCCTCCTTACCCAAAAGGTGCCTGCAGAGGATAAGATCATTATCCTTGGTGATTTCAACGCCAGAGTAGGTAAGAATTTTGAAGCCTGGAAAGGAATATTAGGCAAGCATGGTGTTGGAAACTGCAACGATAATGGTTGACTTCTGTTAGAATTCTGTGTGGAGCAACAGTTTACCATCACTAATACTATCTTTCAGCAGAAAAACAGTCTGAAGACAACCTGGATGCACCCCAGATCTAAACATTGGCACCTCATCGATTATGTCTTGATGCGACGGAGGGATGTCCGTGATGTCCACCATACCCGCGTGATGCCCAGCGCAGAATGCCAAACAGACCATCGGCTTGTGCACTGTAAACTCAACTTCAATCTCAAATTCAAACCTAAAAGGGGCAGTATCCCAAGGAGAAGACTCCAAGTTAACAATCTCCAATCAGCCACAGTGAGAGACAGATTCCAGGCAAACCTTCAAACTAGGCTTGAAAACCATTCCACAGACTCTGCAGATTCCTATCCTGAAACAATTTGGCACCATATTAAAAACAGCATCCTGCAATCCTCCGAAGAATCCTTAGGGTTCTCCCTCAAGAAGAACAAGGACTGGTTTGATGAAAACAATCAAGAAATCCAGGATTTGTTGAGGAAGAAGAGAACCGCCCACCAAGCACACCTCGCACTGCCATCCTGTCACGCAAGAAAAATAGCCTTTCGTCTTGCATGCAGCAAGCTCCAACAGAAACTCCGTGACATCCAGAACAAGTGGTGGATCGATCTAGCTGCAAAAACTCAACTATGTGCAGATACGGGTGATCACAAAGGATTCTATGAGGCCCCATAAACAGCTTACGGGCCTACATACCAGGTCCAAAGCCCTCTACTCAGCGCTGATGGGAAAACACTTCTAACAGATAAAACCTCCATTCTGAATCGATGGTCTGAACACTTTCAGACTCTTTTCAGTACCAACCGTGTAGTCCAAGACTCAGCAATTCAGTCCATCACACAACAACCAGTAAAGTATGAATTGGATACTGCCCCCACTTTAGGAGAAACCCTCAAGGCCATACAGCAGGTGAAAATCAGTAAGGCAGTTGGGGTTGATGGAATTCCACCTGAAGTCTGGAAACATGGGGGCCTTGCACTCCATACCAAATTTCACGAGTTTGTGGTGCGCTGTTGGGAACTAGGCGAACTACCATCAGACCTTCGTGATGCAGTCATCATCACTTTGTATAAGAAGAAAGGAATTAAATCAGATTGCTCAAATTACTGTGGCATTACTCTGCTCTCCATTGCTGGCAAAATCCTGGCAAGAATACTCTTGAACAGACTAATACCCACTATAGCAGAAGGAATTCTACCTGAAAGTCAGTGTGGTTTCAGAGCCAACAGGAGTACCACAGACATGATATTTGTTCTCAGACAACTACAAGAGAAGTATAGGGAACAGAACAAAGGTCTTTATGTAACCTTTGTCGATCTCACCAAGGCTTTCGATACTGTGAGCAGAAAAGGTCTGTGGCAGATTTTGGAACGCTTAGGTTGTCCCCCCAAGTTTCTTAAAATGATCATCTCACTCCATGAGGATCAGCACGGCCAAGTCAGATATGGCAACACACTTTCTGAGCCCTTTCTAATAAAGAATGGTGTGAAACAAGGTTGCGTTCTCGCTCCTACCCTATTCACAGTCTTTTTCAGCATGATGCTCCAAAGGGCCACGGCAGACCTCGATGATCAGGACGGTATCTACATACGATATCGTACTGATGGAAGCCTATTCAACCTAAGGCGACTGAAGGCCCACACCAAGACCCTAAACCATCTTGTCCGGGAGCTGCTTTATGCTGATGACGCCGCCCTTGTAACCCACACAGAAGCAGCCCTGCAGCGTTTAACATCCTGCTTTGCAGACGCTACTGAGCTCTTTGGGCTGGAAGTCAGTTTAAAGAAGACAGAAGTTCTCCATCAGCCTGCACCTCAGGAAGTCCCCCATCATCCCCACATCACCATTGGCCAATCAGAACTCAAATCAGTCCAGCAGTTTAATTACCTAGGTAGCCTCATCTCCTCGGATGGCAAGACTGACGGGGAGATAGACAACAGGTTAGCGAAGGCATATAGTGCTTTTGGAAAGCTTCATAAAGAGTTTGGTGAAATAAACACCTGAAGAAAAGTACCAAGATCAGTGTTTACAGAGCCATTGTGCTGTCTACTCTCTTATACGGATCTGAATCATGGATCATCTACCGCCACCACCTGCGTCTCCTAGAACGCTTCCATCAACACTGCCTCTGTACAATCCTAAACATCCACTGGTCAGATTATGTGACCAACACATCTGTTCTTGAACAAGCAGCAGTCACAAGTATTGAGGCCATGTTGCTGAGAACACAGCTGTGTTGGGCAGGGCACGTCTCCAGGATGAAGGACCACCGCCTCCCTAAGATCCTGCTTTATGGTGAACTTGTCACCGGCTGCCGCAAGAGGGGAGCCCCGAAGAAAAGATACAAGGACTCCTTGAAACAACATCTCAGCCTTGGCCATGTTGACCACCATAACTGGTCTACTCTAGCCTCCAATCGGGAGGTCTGGAGACACACCATCTATAATGCTGCTGATGCCTTTGAGAAAGCACGCAGGATCACTCTCGAGGAGAAAAGACAATGCAGAAAGAATCGTGCCTTGCAGAATATACCATCTAAGGAGTCTTTCTGCTGTGCCTTTTGCAACTGGACATGCCTATCTCGTATTGGCCTTTTTAGCCACCAATGCGCTTGCAACAAATGTGGGTAGAGCCCTTCCCAAATCTTCGTTCACGAAGCCTAGCCATGATGATGATGACAGGAGACCAGACACCAGACGAGAAAGACCCGAACAGAGCGGATGCCGGTATCCAATGATGAGACAGCCCAGAACGATGAAACAGTCCTAAAATCAGAACTGTGATTGTGACCGAGGAAACCAAAAGATCTGAACTGAACTGATGTCAGTGTTAATTTTCGATGACGAGACAGCTGTTCCGAAAGACAAACAAGGACTATATATATATATATATATATATGTATGTATGTATATGCACAGGATATAGACAAACACAATATACAGGTGTTATGTAAAGAAATAGTATAGAATAAGGGGTGGAGAATGTGATAGTTTTCACCCTAGGCCTTCCTGGAGACCAGCTTGTAACCAGGAAGGAACTAGGAAAGTGACCAAGGAAGTATTCCATGCTATCCCTTTACGCAACCTGAGGTATAAATAAAGCCGACCGGAGAGACCTCGCTCTCTTCTCTTCTGGCGAGGTTTGGGAACGGTAGGTCCCTGTCTCAGTCTTGCTTACCTGGAGCTGAGGCCTACAGTGACTGCTGGCCCGAAAGGGGAAAATCGGACCTGGACTTCTTCAGATCAGATATTTCATCGTGCAGGAATTCTTCATCAAGCCGGCATTTTATTGAAGCAATAAAACAGAACCCACATAACCAAGCACAGATCACAGAGGTGAGATAAGAAAAGGCAGAATACGGGGAAAAGGTACCTTTTTTGTTAGCAGCTGCGGAAGAGTTTTTGTGTTTCCCGGGAAATAGGGAACACGGTAGGACTGGAAAGGCTTGGACTTGGGCCCAGAAGCCGCAAGAGTCAGTTTCCAGTAGGCAAAAAAGTTTGCAGGGGAGCAGGGCAAAGCAGATTCATGTCAGCCAGCCCTAGGCTTTGGGTTTCATTTTGGTCTGGGACCAATTGGAAAAGGGGGACGCCCCTTTTATAGTGCTCTGTTCCTACAAGGAGCCAAGGGGGCTCTGTAGCTAAGTTGTTAAAGTAACAGCTTTGTAATCCCAAGGTGACGAGTGCAAATCCTGGTCTGTTGTTTGTTTGTGTTTTGTTGTCATGGGTTGTGTGGATTCAAAGGTTAAGATTCCTAAGGGGTCTCCTCTGTGTTTGGTTTTGAAACACTGGAGTACTTTGACTGGTCCTGAGAAAACTTTAACAAAGAAAGAACTTTGTAGGCTGACTGTAGATGCCTGGCCTCTGTTTGGACAAATGAGAGGGGTGACTTGGCCGGAATTTGGTCCTCTTGAACTAGACACAGTGTTCCAATTAATTTCACTTCTTCGTGAAGAACAGAGATGGCAGGAAATTTGGTATGCAGAGTTGTTTATGTTTCTATTAACACGCCCTGGATTGGGAGGGGGAGATAAGAAAAATGAAGGCTCAAAAGAGACAGAAACTTCAGAAATGGCTTTAGAAAAAGGGAAGAAGAAAGGTCAAGTTAAGGCTGCTCCTGTACCACAAATTTTATTTAAAAACACTGGGGACAATGATTTGGATCTATTAATATTGCCTGATAGGAGAGAAAATAGCCCAGGGGCCCCACAGGTAGGACTCCCTGCTGCTGTGGTGGCGAGGGGGGCTGGAGCTGCAGGGGTGGCAGCCTCTGGACCAGCTCCTGCTGGACAGGCAGGGACTGGGCAGGCAGGGGCCGCTGGAGGACTCCCTGGTGCGGCCACACCGGGGGGAGTTGGGCAAATCGGGGCTTTCAGAGGAGTTGGCTCGGGGGTGGCAGGAGCTGCTCCGGGCACTGCCAGTACAGGATCTGCTGTCATGGCAATGAGTACAGGAGCAGACATGGTGGGAGTAACGGGGCCAGGGCCAACCCCAGCTGTGGCGGCAGTGGGGGGAGAGGCCCCAGGAGAGGTGGCAGGAGCAACTCCCAGATTGCGGGAGGGGCAGGGGTGGTGCTGACAGGCGGGGCCTCTGTCCTGACTGACCCGGGGGTGGGGCTGGAGCTGGCCCCTTTCCCCTGCCTCCCCCTGCAGAGGGGGGCCAGTGCAGCTTTACGGAAGGGGAGGGGAAGAGAAACCAAAAGAGTTTCCAATCTCTGCCTCTCATGAAGAGGGAACAGGGACGCAAAAATGGGGCAACACAGTTTCAGCTGCTGAGAGAAGGCAGAAGTGAGGTTTACCCCCATTTGATAATGGCAGAGCTGATACAGGCACAGAAGAAGA